GCCTGCTTCTCTCTCCCTCTGCCACTCCCCTGGTTTGTGCTTTTTCCCTCTCTCTCTCAAATACATAAAATCTTTAAAAATGTTACCTTTCTAAAGTGAAAAATCTGATTAATCCTGATGAATCCCCATAGGGATTCATAGGACAAAGTCCACACTTTGCCAAAAGGCACACAACCCCCCTAATAATCCGGTTCTTACCTTTCCCATCTTACCTCCCCTCCTTTTCCCACAGGGGGCACTACCCTCCCCATCCTTCATGGCTGTGCCTCTGGTCATACAATTTTCTCTACTGAAATGCTCTTTCCTCTTCTACTCTATTCTCCGTACAGCAGATTTTTCTGACATGCTTTTGCACACACAGTTTAATCTCACTTCTTCAGGGAAATCTGTCCTAGTTTCAGTCTGTCCCTCCACTGTGCCACCACAGCACCTTGCGACTTCTATTCACCTACAAATTCTGTATGTAAGTACCCGAATTCTTCCTTTAATTGTCCCTTCCTCAAAGGCAGGGAGTTAATTTTAATCTTCATATCTGTTTTAGCATCAAGTATTTCCTAAAACACAAATGTACATTATTCAGTAATGAAAATAAGATGGAAAGGTACTATATAGTCTTTAATTGATCCTTCTCAAATTCAGCATGTTTTCATCAGCCTAACGGAGGGGGTTATCAATTTAGTTAAAGTAATACGTAAAAAGCAGTTTCTAATATATACAAAGAACTGTGGTTGGCACTGAGGTTACAAAGACTTCAAGGTCTGGGGCAGAGGAGGGGCACGGCAGGCAGTGGGAGGGAGAAGGGCCCCATGACTGGATCCACTCTAACAAGTGCTCATAATAGTTTCATAAACAAAGTCTTAAAGGAGTAGAAAAGGGGAAGAGATTAATCCTGCTTCCACACTGAGGACATTAATGCAAAAAACTTCCACATATACAAAAATGGATGCAAAACATTTCATTGGCTAACTTATGGAATAGATGAAGCAAAGTTGCTTTATTGAAATTAGTATTTCTCCTCGTCTTATTCTAAGAAGTTATTTTTTAATAGATGATATATTCACAAAATTCAAAAGGTACAAGATAGGATCCACTTATTAATTCCACAAATATTTGGTAATTATCATGCACTGAAGAGTAAAAACAGGGCAAGGGGATGAAGAGTGAGGGAAAATGGGGGACTATTTTTAATTTAATGATAAGGGAATCATCTCTCATAAGATGATAAGACCCAAAGACTTAAAGGAAGCAAGTCACTGATTATCTAAGGGAAGAGTTTTCCAGGTAGAAGGAACAGCCTGTACAACGAATCTCAGCTTGTCTGATGTGCTGAAGGGAAAGCACGGAGGCTACTACAGCTAGAGCACAATAAAGGAAAGGAATGGTGGGAGATGAAACTGGAGGTGGCTGGGGGATGGATCACCAAGGTCTTCGCAGACCATGGTAAAGACTTTTGATTTTATTCTAAGTGTGATGGAGTTGCATTAATGAATTTTCAATGGCTTTTGTCCCTGGCTCTTGGGAGAGAGGTTTTAAATCCTTGAATTTCTTGGAGAAATAGGAGTATCTTTGTTATTCACAGTGGGCCCTATACCACAGCTAAGTTTATGCTAAGGAGATGACTCAGGATATGAGTCTGTCAGGCTAGGAAGCCCAACCATGTGATTAGAGGGATGGAGGCTTTCAGTCAAGTGATTAGCTAAACCTCAGGGGCTGGGTTGGGGGCTAGAAACGGAGTAAAATCATGTGACTAATAATTCAATCAAACATGCTTAAGTAGTGAAACCCGCCAAAAAAACTGAATACTAGGTTTGGGAGAGCTTCCCGGGAAGGTGACACTTCCTGATTCCATGGAAAGAGGACATGGAAGCTCTGTAGTCAGGACCCTCCCAAACATTGCCCTACATTTTCCTCATTGGGATGGTCCTGATTCGTATCTTTTATAATAAAACTATAAACGTAAGTATGATTATATACTTGAATTTCTTTCTTAAATTCTGTGAGTTGTTCTAGTGAGTTATGAACCTGAGAGGGTCATGGGAACTCCCCTGAATCTGAAACCAGTTGGTCAGAAGTGTGGGTAGCTTGGGATCTCCCAAACTTGTGCCTGGTGTCCTAAGTGAGACTGGCTTGGCTGGAGACCCTGGAGACCTAGCCCTCAACTTATGACGTCCTTGTCGACTCTGGATGATGACATCAGAACTGAACTGCAGTACTGAAGATGAGAAACTCTAAGAGAAGTGCAGGGACTTCTATACAGACTGAAGAGGGGCGCCTGAGTGGTTTGGTCAGTTAAGCATCTGACTTCGGCTCATTGGGGCCCTACGACAGAGCCCTACATCAGGCTCCCTGCCAAGTGGGGAGTCTGCTTGTCCCTCTGCCTGCTGCCTCCTCCACCCAGCTCATGTATGTGCACATGCTTTCTCTTACAAATAAATACAATCTTAAAAAGAAGACTGAAGAGGCATGAGAACAAACGCAGGGAGACAGGCTAGGAGGCTACTGCAGTAAATGATGGTGGCTCAGATTAAGGCAGCCATGACGAGATGCTGAAAATTGATTTTACTATGGTGGTAGCCTTCCTATATTTGCTAGAGTTGGATTTAAGATTTTTGAATGGCTGTATTGTGGCTGCATTCTACTGCTGGGGTATGTCACTCTTGATTTATCTGGTCTCTTGCTGACAAACACTAGCATGCTTCTCATCCCCCTCTCATTACGAACAATGCTGCAGGGAAGATGCTTATACCTAACTACTGCGATCTTGTGAAGGCTCCAGCGACACTATGCACTCACAGAACTAAGGTGCCCTAATTTTGTGAACAGACTTATTTTCCCCTCTAAGTTCAAATATTTCTTCTTCATTTCCTACTTAAAAGTTTCTTCTTCCTTGACCACAGAACACTAAAAAGTTAAAATGGAAAGGATCCTTAGAGGTCCTCTGGCTCAGCAGTCCTCAATGTGGATATTATGGTCAATAATCAGAATCTCTAGGGAATCTTCTTCAATGACAGGCCCTCTCCCTTTCTGAGCTGCTCTAGAAAAGTGGGGAGAGCTGGCATGTACTGTCCAGATGACTCCAACCATGATCCAACCACCTGAAATGGCTTATCCAGTCCAATCCCTTTGTTCCCAAGATGAGGAAATCAAAACACGTATCACATAGTGACAGAAGAACTAGGGTCCTAATCTATTTTCAATGCCACCAACAATGTCTGAGCCTATCACTTTCTTCCAACCCTTGACAACAGAAGGTAGGACCATCCCATTTTTTATTTTTACTAATTGGCAAGACAAAAAAAACAAAACCTCAAAAAAGACCCTCACCACTGTTTACGATGATTTATTAATGAGGTTCATCTGAATTATCATGGAAGATGATAACTAGGATTTCTGCAGTTATTTGTCAGAAGGAATAAAATCAATTACTTGAAAACATAGGCTGGTTTAACCTCAAACTCTAGCTCTCTGACAAATTTCACTCAACCATGATCTTCCTATACTTCACTCTCAGTTCTAAAGAAGACATCACCAAAAGCTTTACAGAGGGTGTTTCCCACTGCTCCTGCTTTTCTCATAACCTGCAGACCAAGAAGGCTTCATAAGAAAACCAAAGAGGGGCGCCTGGGTGGCTCAGTGGGTTAAGCCTCTGCCTTCGGCTCAGGTCACGATCCCGGGGTCCTGGGATTGAGCCCCGCATCGGGCTCTCTGCTTAGCAGGGAGCCTACTTCCTCCTCTCTCTTTCTCTCTCTGCCTACTTGTGATCTCTGTCTGTCAAATAAATAAATAAAATCTTTAAAAAAAAAAAAAAAAGAAAACCAAAGAATTTTAGTTTTCCTTTCCTCTTGCAACTAAAGGAACTCTTCTATTTCCCCTGTTGGAATCAGTATGACACAGTTTCTGAAAACCGAACCATTAGAGATCCTAAGTCCAAAGAGAACACACAAAGCCAGAGCAGTGGTTTTAATGGGCTGCTCCGAAGATTTCTCGCATATTATCCTGTTTAATCCTCACACTGTTAAATGAGGGAAGGACTACTATGAGGCACAGAAAGGTTAAGAAACTTGCTCAAATTTACATACCTAGTAAGTGGCAGACCTGGGATGAGAACCCAGGTGGTCGTAGAAAGAGAATAATAGACCCAATTAAAAAATACTTTTTTCTTCTTTGATACCTTCTCCTGCCTAGAGCAATTACATCTCTCTCTGGCCCCTACAGCATTTTTCTAAACACCTATTCTGACACTTTCTAAGCTCTGTTATAATTATTCCTGTTGACACTGAGTTCCTGCCATAGACTATGCCCTCCTGAGTACAAGGAAAGTGTCCTGAGAATCTTTGTATCTCCAGTTCTTAGCATCATGCCTGTATACAATTAATCCTCAGTAAATTTCTGTGGAATGATGGGGCACCTGACTTCAAAACAATTATATATTTGTGAATGAATAAAGGTTGATTCAACATTAAGGTGCAAACATTAGTTCTCATGAGGAACAACTGACTATAAAACTGCTAGTAGCAGTGACTTCATCTAGGAAGGTAGAAATAAAGAGCTTTTGGTGTTAATTTCTTCCAGGGTACAAGTCTTCAAAGGAACTCACAGTTCACTTTTTAAAAACATTATATATTTTTAAGTAATCTCCACATGCAATGTGGGGCTCGAATTCACAACCCTGACATCTGCGTTTCGTGGTCTACCACCTGAGCCAGCCACGTGCCCCTGGAACTCACTCTAAGTAGAAAAAGGGCTGAAGCTGGACCAGCTGATGATTAATGAGGATGAACTCAAGATCTGAGCTATGATAAGGAAATACTTAAAATGGATATCAATTTAATGTAACTGTCAAAGCATCTGTCCAAATGTTCCCAGGGGAAAGAATGAAACGTGCTGTTTCTGCATGGAAACAAGGAAAAAAAAACAGTTCAGTTACTTTCACTGCATTGTTCTAGAGCAGGTCCTCTAAAGATGTGCAGGGCGCTGAGCTGAATATGATGAACACTTACCTCAGAAACTCTTTGCTCTGTTCCCACAGGTCCTGAGTCTCCTCCTGGGTCATGTGCTTGTCCAGGTTACACACATTTGGTTTCTGGGAATAGAACTTAAGGCACTGCTTCACCCAGTGCCACTGGTAACCTGGGAGGAAGGGGTTTGGGATAAAAATAAATCCTATACAAAAGGACAGGTGGGGAAAAGGAGAGGAGAAAATTCTCCATCAGTTATTGATATAACTTGTTTTCGATGACATCCTATACACACTACTGTATTATTTATTCCCTATCCCCCTTTGCTCATGCTTTGTGGCTTCCACATTCATAAGCAAATTTTCTCATTCCTATTCTCCGATTTTAGAGGAAGGGAGGAAATAAAGAAATTCTCAAGAGAAACAAATATTCCACAACTATCCGCTGTGCTACCCCAAGGCAAACTTAGAACTGGTCACGCCACAAGTCACCACTCAAATCTGTACCAGGTATTTATCATTTTTTTAAAAAGATTTTATTAATTTATTGGACAGAGAGAGAGATCACAAGTAGGCAGAGAGACAGGCAGAGAGAGTAGGGGAAGCAGGCTCCCCGCCAAGCAGAGCCCGATGTGGGGCTCGATGCAGGGCTCAATCCCAGGACCCTGAGATCATGACCTGAGCCGAAGGCAGAGGCTTTAAACCACTGAGTCACCCAGGCGCCCCGGTATTTGTCATTTATAAAGGTGGTAGCTGCTTCCTGCAATTACTACCTTTGTGAGCGCTCAGTGGCCCCCCCTCCCGGCCTTTTCTGTCTTCTAGTATCTAGCTAACAATTCTTACATTAAATTCCCTTAGTTACAATAAACTGGTGTGATTTCTGCCTGTGATTGAAATCTGATGGACAGAACAGGGAAGAAAGACGCTGTGAAATACATCCACTCAGTACGGCATGATGCAAATACCTACAGCACGTGTGCAGAAAAGGACTTTGTGACCTTGAAAGTAGTCTAACGTCATTCTTCTCCTGTGTCGAAGAGGAATAACAATATTTAACTGGAATCCTATGCAGGCTAAGGATCCATTCTTTAAATACTCAACGAACATATGCTATGTACTTTCTTAAGAATTAAAGATGAAAAACTGTCATCAGTGAAGCCCCTGGCGACAGAACAGCAGAGACGGCCGTTACGCACATAATGCCTTGCAGAAACCTGGCTATAAAAGGAAACAGAGGTTGAAGAGCAGTCATGGAAGAATAAAGAATTTAAGGGGAGAGTTTATGGTTTTTAGGGTTGGGAAAGGCTTAAGTATGCTTACAGATAATGCGGAAGAACCAGCAGAGATTGGAACTAGTTGAAAATGGAAGAGAGGAAAGGAGCAGAGCAAGGTCTTAAAAGCTGGAAGGGGTGAAAGAAGGTGGAATCAAGAAGGCGAAGGGACTGGCTTTGAACAGAAGGTGTTCCTCTTCCTCTAAAATTGGAGGACAGGAGAGAGAACATTTGTTTCTGAGTGTGGAGGCTACTTTTGCACTTCATGCACCAGCAAAATTCTCCACATAACTTTAGAGTATGACAGGACTGTCAGTATTTTGAGAGAGAGGAAAAAAGAAAAGATATGGAAACCCCCAACTTACCCACCTATCAGCATTACTTCACAAAATAAAGATTATAACATTCTGTAAAACATCAGATTAAAGGAAGACTACTGCTTACCCAGTAACAGGAAAATGATTACCTTTTAGACAGTCCACTCTAGATGACTGTTGCTTTCTTTTACTGAATTAAAATTTGCCTCCTTTTAATTTTCATGCATTGATCTTAGGGTTTGGATACACATAGCAACCCCCAAATTAGTTTCTCATTCTTCAAAAATACCTCTAGCTTTCTCTCATTTATCAATCATTTACTATGTGCCAGGCATGGGCTTAAGTACTTCACAGTGTACTCACATTTAATCTTCACAATAACCTTACAAAGTGAGCACCTTTTTATACACATTTTACCTATCAGGAAACCATGGCCAAGAAAGATTAAGAAACTTGCCCAAGGTCATAGAGTGGATGGTAGAACCATGCAGTTGGTAGCCTCATGTCAGAACCTAGGCCTTTACTACTAGTACGTACTGCTCTCATCCCTTTGTGGTATGACAACCTTTCAAATGTTGGATGCTGTCAGGTTCCCACTCAGCTTTACACTTCTTTCAGACCCATGACTTCCTGCTCATTCTTAAAAGGACAGGTTGTGGTTACTGAGGTTCCTTCACAACAAGCAGAATCCAGAAGTTCACACAATCCCTCTGATCAAGTCTAAATCAGAGATGGTCATTTCCCACGTTTTGGACATTGGACTTCTACTAAATGCAGCTTCAAATGTCAGGGAAGACAGAATGAAGTCTCTGAGGGTACCTCTAATGAGGTACTAACTCACAAAATGTGACTTAAGTGTGAAATCCCAGAAAACCTCAAAATCAATACAACTATTTGGACAACAGATAAACCAAAGTAGGGTTGATAGCTTTGTAGTCTTAAGCAATTTGTTAAAAGAGGGCATAGCCTTGAAAACAGGAGGTAGGCCTGAAACGTCAAGGGCAGCCTTTAAGAACAAAAGGTACATATAAGACTACTGGTGATGCACACTCCTCATTCATCCAAATTCATGGCAAGCCATACCTTCATACATTAAAGCCATCATTTGACTCTTCTTTCATGAAGAATTTAAGTGCATGAGGCCTTTTAGGGAAGTACTGATACTGTTAAGCCATCCTATACTGTTAACAAATACATCAGTGGTCATAATTATTAAGAGCTGTGACACAGACCTGGCCCATGGCATAATAATGAAAACTGGTATTTTTTAGGGATTTTTCTTGCTTTTAATCTGTATTTGAAATCACAAATACAGTGTTAACTTTATGTCCTCTCCATGAAAAAGGATGACAGATAAAAGCTTATTTGATCACATAAGGCATTTCTGTGTTTTCTAGTTAATTAATTTATTTGAGAGAGTGAGAGCATGAGGTGGGGGGAGGTGAGAGGGAGAAGCAAGCTCCCTGCTGTGCAGGGAGCCTGATGCAGGTCTGGATCCCAGGACCCTGGGATCATGACCTGAGCCAAAGGAAGCCGCTTAACCGACTAAGCCACCCAGGCGCCCTGCATTTTCTAAATAGTTCATAATAATTAATCTACAATGGCCCCATGATCCTAAAAGAAAAAAAAAGATTAGGGGTGCTTGGCTGGCTCAGTCCGGAGTATGCGACTCTTGATCTGGGGTGTGAGACTGAGCCCCACATTGGGGACAAGTTTACTCAAAAAAAAAATTAAAAGCATTACCCATCTTTCATTATGTTAGTTTCTAAATGTGTAATGTGAGCTACCCAATATTACTGAAGTGCAAAATGCTAAATGATTTAGTTTATTAGGGCTTTTGATCTCATTAACTATTAATGTTCTTTTCAAAAGCTCAGCCTTAATAATAGCAACAATTTTTAGGTTGTTTTCTTTTTTTTGCCACACAAAAACATAGAGATTTTGTGATTAGAGCGACCATTATGAATTGTTCCGTCATTCAGAGTGGTTCTTCTGCCAGAGTAGCTGTTTGGAGTTGTGGCAGGGAGCCTAGAATCAATGTAATAATTTTTGATTTGTACCTGGTGTGTCACTTTCTGTACTTAAGGTAGGCACTACTGACTCCTGTTCTAACCTTTGGGAATTCTAAATAAATGGACATCTTAGATGAGGCAGACTTAAAAGGAGTTTGGGAGTGAAATATTTTTGTGTTCAGTTTTCCTCTTTGTCTATTTACCTGCTTACAACTCCTCTCCTGAAATTAGACAAACGATTATTTGATTTTGTCTTCTGAGGTCAGCTGCACTCACCAGGATAGCCTTGGAGTCCATAAGCTTGCCACTTGCTGACTGGCTGAAGTCCTGCTCTATGTGCATCGTGGTCACTGACAGAAGACACACTCAGCTGAGCTCTAACCACCTGGCAGGAAGGAAAGAGAAGTTGGAGGGCTAAAGCTATTTTGCAAGTCAGATCTGAGAATCTCGAACTTTTAAAGATATTTCTGGTATGAGGAAAAATTAGGAGTCCTAAGTTTGGGCTCCTAAACTTAGTTCTACCACTTACTTGATGTAACACTTAGGTAAGTCAATTAACTTTTTTTTTTTTAAAGATTATTTATTTATTTATTTGATAGAGAGAGAGCACAAGCAGAGGCAGCAGCAGGCAGAGGAAGAGAGAGAAGCAGGCTCCCCGCTGAACTGAGAGCCCAACATGGGGCTTGATCCCAGAACCTGGAATCATGACCCGAGCCGAAGGCAGATGCTTAACCAACTGAGCCACCCAGGCGCCCCCAAGTCACTTGACTTCTTAGAGCCTCAGTTTTGTCATCTATATACTAACAAATATTAGAAGGCAATATAAAATTAAGCAGTGTGAGAAGCAGCCTGATTTTGGCCTTCAAGACTACCGTTTTGTATGACACCACACCTTTGTGGATTTCTTCGAAAGCTCTAAATTGTGAGAGATGTACTGAAATATCCTCAGTGAAAATTCTGTTCACCTCAATTCCGTCCAACAATAACGCTTGAGGCACTTGTATACAGTTGGTGTTTTAACAGACTTGTGAGGAGCATCAGGCAGGGGAGGTTAAGAGAATGAAGAGAGTGCTCCAACCAGACAGAATAACTGTTTCAGTAAAACTGGAAACCCTGTTTGCTGAAAGCGTGTTTATTCTTTTTTTTTTAATTTATTTTTTTATAAACATGTATTTTTATCCCCAGGTACAGGTCTGTGAATCGCCAGGTTTACACACTTCACAGCACTCACCATAGCACATACCATCCCCAATGTCCATAACCCCACCCCACCTCTCCCAACCCCCCTCCCCCCATCAACCCTCAGTTTGTTTTGTAAGATTAAGAGTCACTTATGGTTTGTCTCCCTCCCAATCCCATCTAGCGTGTTTATTCTTTTAGATGAAACTTCAAACTGAAACTCAGAGCTTTTGCCTTTTTTAATTACTGAGAAATTAAGTTTTTCCAGGGCTCATGAAGTTTTCTTTGCATATAAGAGCATCTTACGGATGGCTCATTAAATTGGTTAAGGGATCCAATATTCAGTCACTAAATTAAGGACATTCAGAAAACAAAACCCTTTATTCCTCCATTAGTAACAAGAGTCTGGCTTGCCTTAGAATACATCAGATGTTCTCTTCCAAAAAGATATGATCTCTTATCCTATCAACTTCACCAAGTGTAGAGATTTCCAGAAAAAAATAGCAACTAGTGGCTGGTCTATTATTACCAATCTATAATAAAATGGTTATCTGGAATGTTCTGAGAGACCTCACCAGCCAATTGTTCCAGGTACTGATAAGATGTTTTTATTTCAAACACTTTATAATGATCTTTCAAATAGACCATACTTAGTAATGCACTGTAATTCAGCAACACCCTCATATCTGAAGTTAAATTTGTGGACCTATTCTCCATGCTAAATTGAAACAAACCTCTGAGTCTTTAAAAAAAAGCCCTCCTTCCACTCTTGCCTGTTAGCTATCACTTTCTTCATTGCTCATTAGTTGCTCTCATAGCAACTTTCTTCTCCCGTTTGCTACTTTCAATCTGTTTTGAGCTAAGGAACGAAACACCCCAAGGTTTTGTTTTGTTCTGTTTTAAGATTTAATCCTTACTTATTTGAGAAAGAGAGGGAGAGCACAGTGAAGAGTGAGAGGAAGAAGCAGACTCCCTGCCGAGTAGATAGCCTGAAGGCTGGGGGCTCACGACCTGAGCCAAAGGCAGAGGCTTAACCAACAGAGCCACCCAGGTGCTCCTAAATATCCAAGTTTTTATGTACTCAATGGATAATGTATTTATTGAGTGCTTACTGTTTAAGATACTGTGCTAGACACAATCATCTCCTCAGAGGCTTACATTCTGAAAGTATTTTTGAGAGAGAGAGAGAGAGAGAGAGAGAGAGAGAGAGAGGGAGAGAACAGGCAAGCACAGCAGGGTGGGCAGAGAAGGAGGGACTCTTAGGCAGGCTCCATATGCTCATTGTGGAGCCTGACGTGGCACTTGATCTCACTACCTTGAGATCATAACCTGAGCTGAAATTGAGTCAGAAACTTAACCAAATGAACAACCGAGGCACCCCCATTCTAAAAGTATTTAAGTATTGCAGCAAAATACGGGCAAAAGGAGCTGAATGAGGATCTGACCCATGTATATTATTCTTAGAGAACTGACTTTCTGTATGCTATTTTGACAACTCTAAGACCACTTCTGTAAACAAACGAAGTTCCTAAGAAGCTGAGTTCTAGATAAATATGGTGCTACTAGAGCATTCCGATTTTATTGCGGGCTATAATAAGCTTAGAAAGAATTCTGCATGCAGCCATCTGTGGACAAAACTAAGGCCAAATTAAAGGATCAGGGATCCTCAGTGCTACAGCGACTGTAAAGAAATTACGCATTATAGTACATTTGTGATTTTCCCTGTACCCCCTGTCCTCCTTTATGTTGCTTTTCTTATTCCACAGGGGAAGGAAGAAACAATGCATAGTGTTTGGATTCGTTTGCCCTTTACTTTCAGACGTGGAGAGATCATTTCAATCGTTCAACGCCCTCTTGCTAAAGGGCCCAGAGACGACAGGGAGTAGTTTTGTGGACAACGGTTTAACAACACCGATCCCTCTCAGTTCTGGGACGACTCCGGTAATTGTTTTTTTTCAAGCTGCAGAACGCTATTCTAACATCTATGAATACAATTTATGCGTTTTTACACAAATCGAAGTAGAGATGCAAATGGACAGTTAATGTTAGGAATACAATTCCCAAGCATTGAGGCCGCAGCCAGGAATGGCCGCGTGGAGGAACCGGCAGCACAGCTCTTCACCGCCAAAGTGTGACGCTTCGTGGACACTTAAACTCCGCGCCCACGGAGAGCGGGAATTACTCAATAACACTCTGGCAGCGAAAAGAGGTGAGGAGGACCCTGGAAGCCCCTCCAAAAAGCGAGGCGAGCAGACCGGGGACCCGGGCCGCTCCTCTGTCCGTACCTTGCGGGCACCAGGCCCCGTGCCGCGGGGTGCCGAGAAGTCAATGACCGCTCCCAGGTCTGCGGTCCCAGGGCGACTCTGCCGGTAGAAGCGGAAAAGCTTCCGAAAGGCGTCCTCCCCTGGCTCTGCCGCCAGCGTCGCTACAGAGCCCACGGCTGCCGCCATCTTCCCCATGTCGCTGTTTGGCCTCTTCTGACCCGGAAGCAGCTCCGCAAGATTCTTCCGGGGTCGCGACCACAAGTCGCAGAGGTCCTCGATCTAAAGATGGCTGCCTCTGCAGTGAGGGGTGCTGTGGCGCTGCGAACGAGTGTTAGCCGGCCCGTGGCTTTTGTCAGAAAAATCCCCTGGACCGCGGCTTCGAGTGAGTGATGGAGACATGTTAGGGGTTGAAGTTTTAGGTAAAAGCGATCGTCAAAAGCACTGCTTTCGGCGGAATGCGTGTCAGCGTGGTGGCTGGATTAAGAGCTGTGGTTCCTGAGTAAGCCAGTGAGCAGAAATAAAAAAAAAATTTTTTTTTTCAATGAATCGTTCAGGGATGCCCCTTAAGCTTTTGCGGCACGTATTCAGGGTCTCCTGCCTTTCCATTGTGGCTCGGTGGAACGGTTCGTTACTTGAAAACTCAAGATTTACGATTTGGAAGTGATTATTTTGACAGCGGTGTGGAGGGTGGATTCAAACTGGCAAGACTGAGGCGAGGAGACTCATTAAAAAGCAATTTCAGGGGCGCCTGGGTGGCTCAGTGGGTTGGGCCGCTGCCTTCGGCTCAGGTCATGATCCCAGGTCCTGGGTTCAAGCCCCACATCGGGCTTTCTGCTCAGCAGGGAGCCTGCTTCCTCCTCTCTCTCTGCCTGCCTCTCTGCCTACTTGTGATTTCTCTCTGTCAAATAAATAAATAAAATCTTTAAAAAAAAGGGGATTTCAGAAAACTTACATACTTAGCCCCTGTCCTCAAAGACTTCATAATCTTATTTGCAAATGGAGTATGCATCCTCTTGATAAGACAACAGAGTATGGGTTAAGAGCAAAATGTGGGGGCGCCTGGGTGGCTCAATTGTTAAGCATCTGCCTTGGGCTCAGGTCATGATCCCAGGGTCCTGGTTCAAGCCCCACATCGGGCTTTCTGCTCAGCAGGGAGCCTGCTTCCTCCTCTCTCTCTGCCTGCCTCTCTGCCTACTTGTGATTTCTCTCTGTCAAATAAATAAATAAAATCTTTAAAAAAAATAAAAAGCAATTTCAATAATTTAGTCCAAAGACGAGGACCTGAAATAGGGTAGTGGTAAAAAGGGGGTCAGATCCATTTATGTTAACAAAACAAAATCAACGGCTTTTCGCGATGGCTTGAGTGGGGTAGGAGTAAGGAATGAGGGAAAGGGAAGAACGAATTCCAGGTTTTTAGCGTTGGTGAATATCGTGGTTAAATGTAGGGGAAGCAGATTAAAGAAGATGAGGAGTAAAGTTTAAATGTGTTGAGTTTGAGAAAAACCTGTAAAGTCTCGGTCAGGCAGTTGGACAGAGAAGATGGTGTATATTTATTGAGAAACGTCCTTTGAAGCCATGCTGTCTAGGTTGGAATTCCACCTCCGCCATTTAATAGTTGTGTAACCTAACGGGAGGTAATTTGGGAAAAGGGCTCATTGTTTCTCAGTTTCATCTATGAAATGGAGTCAGTGATACCTTCTTGATAGGACTTTCGATTGGGTTAAATGAGTTTATATGTAAACCACTTAGACTTGTGCTAGATACAGACTAAGTACTCAATAAATGATAGTTGTTTTCATGATTACTATAATCACTGTAAGCTTATGGGAGAGGCCTAGGCTGGAGATAGAGGGTTGGGAGTAATCAGTATTGAAATCTCTCATCAACATTGATTTTTGTCAGTTGCACTTTTGAAAAATGGTTTTTACATTTGCTTACCAAAAATTAAAAATCCACGGTCACTATTGTAGGTATTCATGTGTCAGGTCATCTCCTTTAAACAAAAGAATGGAAATAGGATTACTCACTTCTTAGCCTTTGTGGCCCTGGTGTGAGGAGTAGAATGGGAAATAGATTGTTTTGGGCCCCCCTTTCTTAATACGTAGCAGGTGAAGATCTAGGCAGTACAATGCCTTGCTTAGGCCCTGTGAAACTGTATAAAGGCTCCGGGATTTCACCATCATCCTGCAGTTGCAAGTTTCCAGACCATAATGGGTTGGTTTAAAACTCATAAAAAGAGTGTAACATACAATTTTGAAGCAGTCTCTCTTGGTTCATTCATACATTCAGCAAATATTTCAGGGGTATCTGTTTGAGGATGACATTGTTCTAGGTGCTTGCAGCAGTTTTTCCCTAACAGTTATAGGTAATTTGGGAAGACGGTTACCTTCCAGAGCTTATTTGGGAAGTGAATGTTTTCTAGAACTTTTAATACCTTGTTCAAGACATGCATATTTAACACTATTTTGTTTAGTGGTAAACAAACAACATGTTTGTCCTGGTGCTGATCCATGAGGTCCTGAATTTGCCAAATGGTTTGACCAACTATTAGAGTGCTTCTGAAATTTAGTCTGTGTGGGTTGTTGACAGATTACTAGGCATTTTTTCATTCAGCAGGTACTGCCCTACTGTTGTCAGTTACTGTTGACATAGTGGACTCAACACTCAGGGAGTTTATGGTGTAGTGGTGAGGGTGAGGAGACTTATAACAGATACAGGCAGTTGAACCAGTGAAGTTTAGATGAACTAGGGGGAAATAACCCAGTAATATGAAATGTTAATCAGGGAAAGTATAAGCACTGTAGTTCAGAAGAGATCAGGTAGTTTTTGATCTTTAAGATTATCTACTATGCATCTCTGAGGCCTCACAGGGGTAGTACATTGCCTTGTGTGGCAGTAGAAGCCCAATAAAATAGTATTTGGCTATATTTGGCCTGGGTCCTGAAAGATAGTTACAATTTAGGCAGGAAGAGATAAGATTACTGACATAGTAAGGGGAAAGAATGACAGGCAAAGGTGGGAATCTGTACGACGGATACATAGAGTTTCATTTGCTGTACTAGAGAGTAACTATGGGCCAGCAATAGGTAATAAGGCAGGAAGGGTAAGTAGGGTCATCTCAACAAATTTTAGAGGGTCAACTATTTAACAGAGTGTAAACTTTATGAAAGGGAAGTAAACTGAGCTTTTGTTTGAAAATCCCTAATATGGCTGGCAATATACTGTGTTCTAATTATCTGTCTTGTGTGTGAATTTCTCACAGGGATTATTATCCATGTACCTAGTACAGTAACTGATGAAGACAGTCATCTGCTGGGAGTAATGACTACAGTCGACTTAGCAGTTTATTTGCATATGCCCGCACCCTATCATTTCCCCTCATCTCTGGCACATTGCAGCTTTATACAGATGGTTGCTGACTATGGTTTGATTTACAGTTTTTTGACTTTACAGTCAAAAAGTGATAGGTGAAAATAATAGGCAGTCTGTTTGATTTCTGTTTGATTCTATTTGATAGGCATTCTGTTTGATTTTTTTCCCATGCTAGTGATAGGCAGTATGATGCTCTCTTGGGTTAGGAGCAGCATCAGCAAGGGGCAGCTCCCAGTCAGCCATGTGATCACGAGGGTGAACAACTGATAGACTTACAGCCATTTTGTCCCCATATAACCATTCTGGTTTTCATTTTCAGTAGTCAATAAATTACGTGAGAAATTCAACCCTTTATTATAAAATAGGCTATGTGTTACGGTTTTGCATAATTGTAGGCTAATGTAAGTGTTCTGAGCATGGTTAAGGTAGGCTGGGCTAAGCTCTGATGCTCAGTAGGTTAGGTGTATTAAATGCATTTTCAACTTAGGATATTTTCGACTTATGATAGCTTTATCAGATGTAGCCCCATCATAACTTAAGGAAGTAGTACCGTTGCTACTTCCTAAATCTTAAGGCTTCAAGGAAATGAAAAGTAGTTCCTGTTCACAAAAAGTTTGGGGATTCTAGGTCCCCTCTTGGTTTCTAGCTACAATCTAGGATGGAGGATGCAAAATACATTAACTACTTTTTTTTTTTTTTCTTTTTAAGTAATCTGTATGCCCAGTTGTTGGGCTTGAACTCGACCCTGAGATCAAGAGTCACATGCTCTACCATCTGAGCCAGCCAGGTGCCCCAAATATATCAACTAATACATTAACTACTTTTAACATGGTTTTTTTTTCCTCCTATACAGGTGAACTGAGAGAACACTTTGCACAGTTTGGCCATGTACGAAAGTGCACTGTACCTTTTGTGAGTATTATCTTTTTAAAAAAAATGTTATCCTTTAATTTTTGATCCTCTAATTTTATCCTTGAATTCTTGACTTTGTTAAAGCCTATCAGCTTATATGATTTTTTTTTAAAGATTTATTTATTTATTTGACAGACAGAGATCACAAGTAGGCAGAGAGGCAGGCAGAGAGAGAGAGGCAGGCAGAGAGAGGGGGAAGCAGGCTTCCCACCAAGCAGAGAGTCCGATGTGGGGCTCGATCCCAGGGCCCTGGGATCATGACCCAAGCCGAAGGCAGAGTCTTTAACCCATTGAGCCACCCAGGCGCCCCAGCTTATATGATTTTTAATGGAGTGAAGCTACTCAGTGTTTATTGATAAAATTGTGGGTGATACTGATTAAAACTGTAAAACAAATTCCTGTATAACAAATTATGACACAGTTTTTTTAAAAAAAGATTTTATTTTGGGACGCCTGGGTGGCTCAGTTGGTTAAGCAGCTGCCTTCGGCTCGGGTCATGATCCCAGCGTCCTGGGATCGAGTCCCACATCGGGCTCCTTGCTCATCGGGGAGCCTGCTTCTCCCTCTGCCTCTGCCTGCCATTCTATCTGCCTGTGCTTGCTCTATCTCCCTCTCTCTCTCTGACAAATAAATAAATAAAATCTTTAAAAAAAAAAAAAAAAAGATTTTATTTGTTTATTTGAGGGAGAGAGAGGGAGAAGCGAGGGAGGAAGGAGGGAGGAGGGCAAAGCAGACTCCCAGCTGAGCAGAGAGCCTGATGTGAGGCTCGATTCCAGGACCCTGAGATCATGACCTGAGCTGCAGGCAGACGCTTAACCAACCAGGCCCCAAATTACCACACACTTAATGACTCAGAACAGTACACATATATAGTAACTCACAGTTTCTGCAGATCAGAAGTCTGGGCACAGCCTTGATGGGTCCTCTGCTCAGGGTCTCACATAGCTGCAGTCCTGGGATGAGCTGGGGCTTTGGTTTCATCAGGGGCTCAAAGGCTCAACTGGGAAAGACTGATTTTCAAGCTCTCTCAGGTTGTTGGCAGAAGTCGTCTTTGAACTGTGGGTCTGAGATACCTACGTTTTTGCTGGCTTTCAGCTTGTAGGGACCACCTGTAGTTCCTTGTTACCTGGGAGGTGTGTAGGCTGTCTCCCAGCACAGCAGCTTACTTCTTCAGTCAGCAGAGAAGTTTCTCCAGTCTGTTAAGACTGTCTTATAACACGGTCATGGGAATGACGTCGCATCACCTTTGCTGTATAACTGATCAGGCAAGCAGCTTCCCATCACTTTTGCCATATTCTTTTGATTAGAAGTATGTTACAGATCCCTCACACACCCAAAAGGAGGGGCTTATTCAGAGGGTTAACATAGTGAGAGACATGTGGACATCATGGAACTATCTTAGAATTCTACCTAGTCCAGTATTGTAAGGACTTGATACTAGAGAATGATTTTATCATCAGACTAATTGATGGAGAATATCTATTTTAAACTTTACCCTTATTAGGTTGAGTGATTTTTTTTCTCCTTTAGTGTTTTTGTATTTGTTATATTTTCTTTTCTTTTTAAGGAAGATTTAGAAATCAGTTTATAAATTTGTTCTACTTTATCCTGGGCTGTATTTGTCTGTGGGCTTTCTAGGATTACTGAGTTGGGGGGTGGGATGTGAGTACACTATAGTTCACGGCAACTGCTTCACTAAAACTGCCCCTTTTTTCCTTATGGCACTGAGAAGGCCGTGACAAAATATTAACCTAAAGTAATTAAAATTCTTAACTCTTGTTTTAATGTTAGTTGCCTTCCAAGGATCTAATAGATTGATCCTGTTTAGTGCTAGTGAGGGTGTAGGGAAGCGGAAATTGTTTGGAAGTTTACTTAATTTTTTTTTTTTTTAAAGATTTTATTTATTTATTTGACAGAGAGAGACACAGCAAGAGAAGGAACACAAGCACGGGGAGTGGGAGAGGGAGAAGCAGGCTTCCCACTAAGCAGGGAACCCAGTGCGGAGCTCCATCCCAGGACACTCGGATCATGACCTGAGTCGAAGGCAGACACTTAACAGCTGAGCCACCCAGGCGTTCAGAAGTTTACTTCATTTCTGAAGGGTATTTTGGCAAAAATCAAAACTAAGAATTTACATTTACTTTGATCTAGCAATTCCATTTTTAGGAATTTATTCTACAGAAATAGTGTGGTCAAGAATGTTCAAAGAAGGGACACCTGGGTGGTTCAGTTGTTTAAGCATCTGCTTTCAACTCAGGGACTCTGAGATTACCAGGCCCTGGAATTGAGTCCTTCATCAGGCTTCTTGCTCCACAGGAAGACTGCTTCTTGCTCTGCCTCCTGCTCCCTCTGCTTGTGCTCATGCTCTCTCTTTCTGAAAATAAAATCTTTAAAAAAAAAAAAAAAGAAAAAAAGTTCAAAGCAGCTTTGTTTAATAATATAACTGGAAAGAACCTAAATGTTCATTAAGGGGATTAAATAGATATTAATTCACTGATACAACGGAGTTTTAATATAGGTAATTAAAAGAATGAGGCATAAGTATTACAGACACAAAAATTTTTCTATAAGCTTAAAAACTAAATTTTTACGAAGAGGATGAAATTCCTATTTGATGAACATTAAAAAAAACATTCTCTGAGGGCACCTGAGTGGTTAAGTTCATTAAGTGTCCAGCTCTTGATCTCAGTTCAGGTTTTAATCTCAGAGATCATGAGTTTAAGCCCTGCATTGAGCTCCACACTAGATAGGTGTGGAACCTACTTAAAAATTTCTCCCAAAATAGTAACACATTTCTCACCATTTCCTTCTTGAAAGTGTAAGCAAAATTATTTAGGACCTGGAGTTAATACCTTAAACAGAAGAAAACTTTGATTCTTGGTAAAACTAAGTAAAATGTTGACAGGAGAAAAGTTAGAGGAGTTTTTTTGTTTAAGATTTTATTTATATGACAGAGATTGTAAGTAGGCAGAGGCAGGCAGAGAGAGAGAGGGGGGAAGTAGGCTCCCTGCTGAGCAGAGAGACCTATGCGGGACTTGATCCTAGGACCCTGTGATCATGACCCGAGCCGAAGGCAGACGCTTAACTGACTGTGCCATCAAGGTGCCCAAAAAGTTAGTTTCTTTTTTTTTTTTTTAAGATTTTATTTATTTGATAGGCAGAGATCACAAGTAGGCAGAGAGGCAGGCAGAGAGAGAGGTATAAACAGGCTCCCTGCTGAGCAGAGAGCCCGACTTGGGGCTTGATCCCAGGACGCTGGGATCATGACCTGAGCTGAAGGCAGAGGCTTTAACCCACTGAGCCACCCAGGTGCCCCCAAAAAGTTAGTTTCTGATAAACAAATTCATGTATTCAAATCCAGCTTCCTTTTTTTGCTTTTGTTTTTATTTTTTTAAGATTTTATTCATTTGTCAGAGAGCAAGCGAGTGCACAAGCAGGGGGAGCTTCAGAAAGAGAAGCAGGGTCCCCACTGAGCAAGGAGCCTGCATTGTGGAGTTGATCTCAGGACACTGGCATCATGACCTGAACTGAAGGCAGATGCTTAACAGACTGAGCCACCCAGGCGTCCCATCCTTTTTTTTTTTTTTTTTTTTTTTTTAAAGATTTTACTTTTTACTTACTAATTGACAGAGCAGCAGAGGGTGCGGGAGAAGCGGACTCCCACTGAGCAGGGAGCTCAGTGCAGAAGTTGATCCCAGGACCCTGGGATCATGATCTGAACTGAAGGCAGATGTTTAACTGAGCTACCAAGGCGCCCAGAAATCCAGGTTCCTGTATCTTAGAATGCATAGTACCTAAGTTTTACATAAACACACATTTTTTAAGGCTTTTACTAACAGAAATGGCCATACGGAAGTAGAGGAGAAACTAGCTTAGGTAAGGAGTGAATTACCGGGATATTACCAGAAACTTCCTGCAGTATAAGTTAAGACTTAAAAAGTCACCTTTTGGGGCGCCTGGGTGGCTCAGTGGGTTAAGCCGCTGCCTTCAGCTCAGGTCATGATCCCAGGTCCTGGGTTCAAGCCCCACATCGGGCTTTCTGCTCAGCAGGGAGCCTGCTTCCTCCTCTCTCTCTGCCTGCCTCTCTGCCTACTTGTGATTTCTGTCAAATAAATAAATAAAATCTTTAAAAAAAAAAAAAGTCACCTTTTAAATTTGGGGGCAATTAGGGGTGGTGCAGAGCATAACGGAACTTTGTAAGAAGATTGACGAGGTACCGAGTGAATAGACATCTTTATATCTGTTCTTCAATAGTAGGGCTGGTGGGGTGGGGGCAGGGTGCACCCAAACACACCAGAATCTTCTCCATGTGCTGTGTATAGGTTGGATGATAAGCACTCTGTGTTTTGCACAGAGTAGCGTTACTTTAATCTAGAGCTAGGTAAATGAAGGTAATATATTTTTTTTTCTATTTTTCATTAGGACTATATAATTATAATGGTAGTGGTGGTGATGAGAGTAATTTGTTTCCAAAACTACCAGAAATGAGCTAGGTTTTGAGGCCTAATTTTTTAGTTTCTAGAATTGAGGAAGTTAGAAACAGAGTTGTTTCTTTCTGTGATCAAAATGTCCCTTTATTGTTAGTGTAGTTTGTATCTCGAATGACAGAAACTTCACTGCCAATATTTTACTTCCTCCAGTGGCAGCAGAAAAGCAGAATGTTAAGATTAACACAAGGGTTGACCTTTGGTAACTAGGAGGGTAAGTATGTATTAAAGCAAGGTTTTTGACATTTATTAAAATCTGTTATTCCATTTGGGCAGGTGAAAAAGTTGGTAGTTTGATTGGAGCTCATGGAAACTTTCTCCAGCTCATGATTAATCTTTTCTAAATTTTGAATTTTTAGGACAAAGAGACTGGATTTCACAGAGGTATGGGTTGGATTCAGTTTTCTTCAGAAGAGGAACTTCAGAATGCACTACAACAAGAACATCACATTCTTGATGGAGTAAAGGTAAATATTTTTCTGTATAACATCATGAGCTTTCTGTATATCCATTTAGTAGGTCAGAAGTACGGAATGACAAGGACTTCGGGAGATTTGTAACTGAAGTTCCTTTAATATTGGTTAAAGAGTGGTGGTGGTGGTAGGGTGCCTGTCCTATGGTGTCTGGGGAGGGTAGTTTAGGAAGACCCTTTAACAGTTAGCAAGGTATATCTAACATAGAACAGTAGTCTGCTTACAAGGTAGGGAGACTGGCTTTTCCATTTAACTATGCAACCTTGGGTTAAACTGATTTAGTCTTAAGACCAGGGATCAGGTAACATCCTTTTGACTTATTGGTGCTGACTCCCTCATAAAGCAGTCTTAAAGTGGCAATCTTCTGTTGGAATGCTTTTGCAGGTGCCACCTTTCCTTATAATATTTATTTGATTTTTCTTTTTTTTTTTTTTTTAGCTCTACGTTAAAGCTCAAAGACCAAAAGTTTTGCAAGGGGATCAGACATCTGATGAAGAGAAAGACTTTTGAGACTATTACTGCCTATTAGAGTAAATAAAATTAAAAATTTTGTCTAAATGTTTTTATTTGAAACAAATAGTTGCACCAAGCAAGAGCTTAATTTCCCCACTCCAAATTAAAACAAAACGTAGTAGGGGCAAACGTCATTTGGCAGGACAGTTCCAGTACGTGAACATCCTTCTACTCACTGTGGTTGGGGCAACTTTATTCATCAGCAGTCATTCTTACACAAAATATTAACCCCAAAGTACTAATGTCACAAAAAGGAAGTGGTCTTAATTTCATGTGTGGGGCAGTATGTTCTATAAATGCCAAAAGGTAGGAGAAGCACAAACACAACCCACTCTTTAAAAAAAACTAAATAGTTCAAAGAATTTTCCCCCTCCCCCCTTACTCCCGTAATAAAAAGTAGTGCTGGGGTCTGACACCCAGATTTGGTTTTTATCCTGGCCATGTAACAAAGTGTTTCCCCATCTGACTTGCATCATTAGGGTTATGGGTAAAAGTTCATTGACTTTGAAGAGAGGTTTGTCTACTCCTTTCTCCTCTTCTTGCCTTCATGCTCATGTTCCTTGGGGCGGCTGCTATCTGATGGTCTTTTAGAGCCCCCGTGCTGTTTGGCTTCTTCCAAAAACTTGTCCAAACCAAAAGGATCTTCCTCAAACTGAACTGGTCCTTCTCGGCCTCTTTGTCTGCGGTCTGAACCAGAAAACTCCTTATCGGGAACAAATCTAGGGAAAAAGAGAAAGGACTATGAACTACTTTGTTTTCACTGGTGCAACAGTGAAACTGCGCTGTCTACTTAGGTACCTGTTGGTCTTTATTCTGGCTTCTAGGTCATCACCATACATGTCCTTGTCCAGATTTTTACTGGGCCTATAAATATTCTGGGCCATATCTTTGCCACCTCTCCAGGCTTGATCATAAACGTTGTAAATTTCATCTTCTCCACCTGCAAAACCACTGTCCATACCCTGTGGGAAAAGGAAATTAAATAAAAATATATTAAAAGTTGGATCTGATTACATTCATGTAATCATTACTAGCGCACATTTTCAGCAATCTGAACTGCAAATTAAAAAGATCTTCATAAAAAAACAAAGTCCATAAACTTTATTCTTACCAGGTTTGGTCCTTAAGTAAAGTGCTAATTAACAAGTTTGACCGCTTTAGTGAAGTAGTCATTAAAATTGGAGAGTATAAGCAGGTACTTAATTTCAGTTGTACAGATAGTGGCAAGAAAACAAAAGAACTATAAAGCATTTATCTGATGTTACTCATTTATTAAGTAATTAAGTTCTATGCCCAACATGGGGCTTTAACTCAAAATCCCAAGACTAAGATACGGATGCTGTACTAACAGTATCTCATGGCATTTAGAATAATGGTGCTATACTTCTTAACTCCCTGAGAACATCACTATTATAGCATGAGACAGGCTCTAAGAGCAAATCCCAAGTCAACAATGAACAAATTTGTTTCATATATTTGGATGGTTCCTCAATACAGGGATGTGCTCTTCTAGAAAAATTTTTATCACAGCTTTGAAATAAGCTTAAGCTTGTAAGACGTAACTGTCGTAAGTATTTGCCTATGTGGAACTTGCACGCCTAACCCTCCTTTGCTCAGGCTGGTAAGTTACCACTGCACTGTGTTTAAGAACACAACCTTTGACCCCTGGGGCTAAAACTATATTACATGTTAATTTAAAAAAACTGCCAGTTTTATCACTAAAAACTTAAAATTTTGAAAACAAAACAAAAAACAAAAACCCCACAACCTTTGAAATCAAATGCTAGCTAAACCACTGTTCCTCAATTTCCTCATCTACAAGTAGAGATTATAATGAATAGTATGACTTCACAGGGTTTTTATAAGGATTAAGTGAGATAATAAAAGTGAAAGACTTAGAACAATGCCAGGAATGTAAAAAAGTATCCAATTAAGTTATTATTAACTAGAAGAGCGTACTCAAATGCCACCTTCAAATCTTAAAGACTCAAAGTCATAATAAATTTTTCCTCTCTGTATCCCAGTAGAACTTTATACTTCCATGTATTTATTGCTATCTGCCCTGTCCTTACTTATACACAGATAATATCTTTTCTGGTAGACTCGAATGTTCCTTGAGGGCAAAGGCACATCTATCTTTGATCTCACCGTCTAATGCACAGTACATAATCAATGTTGGGTGGATTAACACATAAAGGCACTTTTTCGGGCCTAAGGTATCCTAGCTGGTTAATAACAATAGGTATTAGAAATCCAATTTCCTGACAACTAGTCTAGCACTTAAATTTAGTTTTAGCATTTAAAGATCTCAAGTTATATGTTTCTTTAGCATTAAATTTGTGTTTCAAAGATCAACAAAAAACCCAAGATACACTTTTGTAGGATACTGGCTTTACTTTATAAATAAAAGACTAGGGGCGCCTGGATGGCTAAGTGGGTTGAGCCTCTGACTTCAGCTCAGGTCATGATCTCAGGGTCCTGGGATCGAGTCCCACATCGGGCTCTCTGCTTGGCAGGGAGCCTGCTTTCTCCTCTCTCTCTCTGCCTGCCTATCTACCTACTTGTGATCTCTGTCAAATAAATAAATAAAATCTTAAAAAAAAAAAAAAGACTAATACATTAAAACCAAGTTTTATGGGGTGCCTGGGTGGCTCAGAGGGTTAAGCCTCTGCCTTTGGCTCAGGTCATGATCTCAGGGTCTTGGGATCGAGCCCCGCATCAGGCTCTCTGCTCAGCAGGGAGCCTGCTTCCTCCTCTCTCTCTGCCTGTCTCTCTGCCTACTTGTGATCTCTGTCTGTCAAATAAATAAATAAAATCTTTAAAACAAAACAAAACAAAACAAAAACCACCAAGTTTTATCAACTTATTTCATTCATTTTTTTAATCGTGTCTTAAATTTTAGCCAACTGTAGAGGTCAAAATCAGAGTTGTTTTATCTTATGTCAAATCAAATAAGATGAAATAAGATAAAACAGTTCTATAAGTTATAACACACAACTACTAATTTTCTCTCTCACTATGCCAGTACACCTTAGGCTGATCCAAATCTATGATAATGTTAGTTTTTCCTGAGGACTGGTATTCACATCAACACTTAAGGCAAGCTATGTCTAAACTCCTGGTACCTTGGATTGGTTGAAAAGCCTTTGGTCATACTGAACTTCATTGGACGTTCGAGGATTGGGCACACCAAGAGCAATGACTTCACTGATATCTCGATTTTCATTTCTCTGTAGTTTCGACCTGTTTCAAAATACAATGTCACTAACTAAACTCTTTACAGACGAGCTGAATTTCAATTTCAATACAACCAATCTCAGAAGCAAAATTAATGAATATGTCCTGTTCATATCTTGTGAACATATATTCCCTGATAATGCATAATCAGGTTGGCAGTTCGTATAGCATTTCAGAGACATGGTTATTAGAAGAGGTAGGGTTTTATAATCAGGCCTTCCTGTTAGCTGAAAAGAACTGTCAAGAGACTCACACTTGACACGAATTCTTTAATATAAGCAATCACCTTATGAAGAGAGCATGCTGAGATATGAAATTGCTACAGTCTATACTTGCTATTATACGAGGACTGGGGGGGCGGGGGGACTGGATGCAAATCCGATGTATCATATGAATCACTGTCAACAAGCCAGAATCCGTTCTTTACCTAAACCACATTCAGTAATTTTATCCTATTAGAATTTTGAGGAAAACATGTCAATGACTGAATTACTCAGAATGATATTCAGTATTCAGATTATCTTAATGCCCCTGCTGTTCCAGTATGTATGCAATCTACATCGCAATGAAACCAGAGTAACTGTCATCATTTATTTTACCAGAAACTCAGGTCTTAAAATAATTTCTACAGACAACCTGATTTTCACGCAATCACAAGTTTACAGCTTTTCTATGTTATCAATTCCCATAAACACTTTACTGGTTTTAAGGGCCCAATTTATCTACAGAGCCATTTTGATTTTTACAGCTTAGGAATTTCAGACCAAGAGTATCATTAATTGTGCGCTTTCACATTTCATTCCTCTCTTTCCTACACTGCACATTTACCCATGACTCTAAATTCAGATTTCCTGCTTCTCCATGACTTCACTTATCCAGGGAGATGAGCTATGCCATTAAATAACAAAGAGCACCACCAGCAGGAATCATCTTTTTCATGTTTAAGACATGACTTGAAAAAATGGATTGTATCAGCTCACAAAGTGATGAGAGCATGGAAAACTGCTCATATGGAAAGAAAATGTTTTATATTTGCATTTAGCCCTCATTCAGAATTCAGTGCTCAGCCTTTGGTGAAGCATAAACTTCACCAATCCTTACTTTAGTGCAAGCCCCATACATGTGTTTTGTTTGTTCCATGCAGGTCTGCTCTTATTAGCAGTGCTGTATTAATTTTCCCAGGTCATTTTATATGGCAGCACTATCTTTCTGAATTTTAAATAACTACTCATGAGAAGAGGCCAATTTTCACTTCTCACAAAACCTGCTCTTCTCCCCCACTGTACTGAAGACAGCTCTCTGCATACAGGATCTCAATGAAGGTACAGAATCTTCTTCCCTGTCTAGAGGAATAGGCGTGTAATAAGCTTGTCTCGCCACTTGAAACAGGAAAAGAACAGACCAGAACAGTCCTATCTACTACCTTCTTTTCACAAACATGATCTGAATTCCCTTTTCTATATCCCTATCATGCACAATTCTAGCTGACTCTACAAGGTGATGAAAAAGGATTTCTTCTAGGGATAGTTAATTCCTCTGCTAAGAAAAGTAAGCATCAGTGTTAAGAAAATAAGTGCTGATTTAGTAAGTTATCAATATAGAAAGGAAAGGGAGAGAAGCAAACTGGTCTCAGTGGACTAAAACTCTTC